CAAACCCTCACTTAAATACATACGAGATAATTTGCATTCTGACGAGAAAACAGAAAGAGAGAATTAACAGTAAATATTTCAAACATAAAATAACTATTATGTAAATTAAATAAACCTCACAAGATGATAAGTATCTTAAATATATTTCAGTGAAATGTCGATTAAGCAACACTTAATGTTATTAAAATTTTTTATCATTAAACCTCCATGTAAAATTTTTATACAACGGAAAACAAATAAAGTATGACTTTTAACGTATATCTATGTAGTGTACTAAGTCTCTAGACACGTCATTATACTGGAAGAGAACTAGTTGGCTATAAAGAATAATTCGAATAATAAAATGAAATCGTTAACCATCTTTACAACATAACAACTTGCCCACCGAGCGGAAAAAGCCGCTGAACACTGGTAGTTCTGACCGGGGTTCGAATCCTGGCGAACGGTCTGGCTGCATGGGCGTTTTCGTGGTTTTCCCCCATGTGTAACGTGGATACGAGCCAGTTTCCCTTAAAAAGACCTCCACGGGGCATCCCTCCCTTTTCGTGTACTGCCTACGGACGGAGCACGTATAAGTAAAAAAAATAATAATAATAACAAGATATTTAATGAAAACAAATTTCAAGAAGCATGCTTCTGCACGCTACCACTAGTGGAAATAGCCTACTCACTGATATATCGATACAACTGCAATTACATACATACACTTTCTATACAGTTAAAGGTACAGTTTTAGGAGCATGATATAATGATGTTAAAAATAATTAGAAAGTAATTGCTTAAACGCCCGATTACTGTTAAACCGTCACAGTATCCCCTAAGCATTGACACAACATACGTGAAGAAAATTAAACCGCACTACTCTAGCAGAACGAGTAATATTCTTCGAAGGCAAAGATGGTACTTCGCTTGAGGATTCCGGTGAGCTAATGGTCGGAGTTTTTGAACTGTCACTAGGAATAACTAAAGTCGTTTTAGATTGTATTGAGTTGTATTGAGTAGTGAAGTCTGGCTTCAAACGGTCAAGTCCTATAACTGATTCTTTTCCATTTATCAGAATAATGAAGTGTTTACCATTCCGTTTGATAATGTGATACGGATTATTATGCGGCTGCATCAATGGTGCTTTTACTGTGTCACTGCGCACAAGTCGTAATTTCTGCTTGAGTGCAGGAAACTCTCAATACTAAGAAATTAGTTTTCAATGAATCTTGACCTCATTAAATTCTAACGCCTAGGCACAGATTTTCACAAACGTAAACGGTAGTAATTTGCCATCTCTGACAAACTCCCTTTCATTTTTGAGCTACTGAGTTTCCTGCGGTAGCAAATGTGATATGGAGTTTATTACGTATCTGCGGTATGCAAGTTATCTCGGGAAAAAATGTAACCAAACGTCGGGGCTGCTTTCTGTAGCTTATAATTTCCCATTTAGCCGGAAATGCCTACTCTACGAATTAAATCTGATGCTGAAAATCAGGGACAACCTAGCTGCCTATGCCTAGCCCAAGTGGAGTTTTGTATACTTGTTGCACAACTTTATCAGTATATTGCTGGCATTCACAAAAAAAAAAAAAAAAAAAAAAAAAAAAGATGTGGTTATTTAGGAGAAGTTAGACTACTTCACAAGATTTTTCTCTCATTACTCGTAAACCACACGCTCCTGTTATTATTTTCATAGCGTTGTTGAAGGCAAATTACAAAGATTTTGCAAAATAGACTGCTGTAAAGGAAGTTAAAGTTGATAGCTTTTCGTAAAGGAAGCTACTTTACTAGACTGAAATTCATGTATTTTTAATTAATTTTAGTGAAGGACTAACCTTTAACTAAACGTCAGTGATAGTGAAAACTACAAAGTGGCATTTTCGTCCTCCACGATCAACGAGGCCTCAAATTTGGATATGTTTGCAGCAATGTATTACGCAAAGGACAATTCATAATGCACTCCTCATTTAGGAATGAAGAATTCACAAGTTGTATATATTAGACTCTCTTTAATAAAGTGGATGCGTTTGTTCTAATAGCAATTACATGGTTCTCTTGCTAAAAATTAGTGGAATTTTCAGATTTAAACTATGCAAAGAAACAAGAAAAAAGAAATTTATCATCTGCAAAGCTGTGCTGTTTACTTTAATTATTATGAATTGATATCCAAAATATGCACTAATGAGCAATAATTTGCATCCACACGTCACCGAATAAAACCAATTACAGAATGAATTCCTTTATCATAAACATTATTTATAAACGAATTTATGCAATAATTAATGTCGTAATATTTATTGATGCATGAATGCATATCAGTCGACAGGTTTTACTCATCATCTTCGGCCTCTGTCTGAAAACAGAAAAGGAATGTACATGTACTCTACCAGAACATTTAGACTCCTGAAAATTGGATGTCTTGGTATTACGTTATTCATCTGTCTAAAGGAGACAAACATGGTTAACACATACTGGCAGTTTTATCAGTTGGATGCTGGACCGAACAGAAAACTTTTTGCATACTGTTTAGAAGCATGCCTGACGATAAGATAACACTTACTATGAAGTATTACTATCTCATATTATTGATCGGGTGACTACAGTACGCTATTGGAAATTTCTAAATGATTTATATATCTCCTACTGCAAGTATTACAGTTTATTGTATAGATGGCCTCGATTTAGCAGGCCTAAACGTTTGACGTTTGGGTATTAAAAGGATTCTCAAGGCTTTATATTAGGATATGCTATTCCAAGCCTGAGCCTGAATGCACTTAAAGCACTTTATAACTACGTTTTCGCATATTGATTCTTAGTAATCAAACAACGCTGTACAACATTGAAATAGCCAATTCTTTTTCTAGCTCACTTCAATGTTGAATAACATTTGGTAAGCTCCTTAATTTTCTGTTAAAAGAAGCAGCCATCGTTTTTAAGTAAACTGGTACAGATTTTAAGTTACAAATACGTATTTTAATTTAGAGATAAATCCAACATGCTAGTATGAGACTTTTTTATGAAATGAAAGATATGCGTAAGGACTTTTTCTTTGAAGTTTTCATAAAATCCGACCAACAGAGCTGTGATACAAAGAAACTTTATAAATACAATGTATATTAAAATATCAATTTGATAGCTGGGCAGTGAAACTTCTTTCTGTGGAGTTTGATATTTAGAATTATGGAAGTAAAATATAACACATATTATTGATCAAAAATCACGACAAAAGTTTCTTTTAAATGAACCCTTTGCCTTGAAGCATAATTTACTCACCTAAATAGTCACATCAAGGTTTTAGACATTGAAACTTACATACATCAATCATATCAAGCGCTTTTCAGTAATTGGGTTAAGTAGCTTACTCGCGTGGAAAGTCGCTTTTATAGATTCAATATATGCAACTTTCTTTTTATATTGATTGCACGCCATAGCTTTTTCCTACTACGAACGTTTCGTTTGTATCATTTAAAACATTCGAACATAAACAGTATATGCAAATAATGACTAAGTAGAGACTAATATGAAAATAGAAATATTCATTAATGGAGTCCAGTCAATATGCGCATAAATTTCTATATTTTTAGAACGCTGAAAGCTAAATTCTTTTAGTAGAAACTGAAGATACAGAAAGTATGAGCACTTTTTTCTTAAGTTCACATTTAGCAAAAAGCTTTTAGAAGCCTTTCTTAATTATTTACTTCTAAGGAATGGTAAAAATATTCCAAATTTAGTTAATCATATACACATTTCAACGAATTCAAGGAATGACAGGTTTAAAGAAGCTAGTGTCTGCAAACTTTGTTTTAAGAATAAAACCACAGTAATGAGCTATAAATTAGCAGCAAACATTCTTTATTAGAGTAGTGAATTCATGCGTAAGATTATATGAAAACTTAGAAATATTACTGCCTATAGACATTGGAAACCTTACTTGAAGAAGAGCCTGTTTAGTTACAAAAACTACGCTTTTTGAAATGCAGTATAACTCAGCTAGAATTTAGAGATATTTAAATAACAAGGCTCTGTTGTCTTCAACTTGGTCTCAAATGGCTAAATATAATTAATTATCTAATTACTTTTGGAACACTCTGCAATCCGCATTGCTATTTCTCAAAAACTGGCTTTCATTTAGTTCCCAGTCACCTAAATGAAATAGTAATATTTTCATTTACTAATACCCATCTGTCTAAATTAACTTGAATGCATCTGCAATATGCTATAAATAGTAGGCTTGAAATCAAATCAAAGATGTTTAGAAAATTGAACATCTTCACACGCTAAAAATTTTTTTCCTAAGCAGAATGATGGGAAGACTGTTCCTAATCATTTACCTGAAATTAAAGACCTTTGCTCTGTTTTTAAGTTGTTCAAGCATGAAAATCATTAAATAAATAATTAAACTATTAAATAAATAATTAAATCATTAAATAAATAATTAAATAAATAATTAATTTTTTCTTTGAAATAAAACATACATAAAAAGAGTGAAAAGTTTTGAGATGATGAAACGATGATGTCATTGAGTAGGTTGTGTGTCATTGAGTCGGTTGTGTATTGCGTTTATAAGTTGGAAGGGCTGGCAACAGGGTAAATTATCTGCCTTCACAAGACTAAGACTTGGATTTTTCATAATTTTAAATTTGCAAAATGTCTACTGAGAAATATTTAATCTAGAAAAATTCAACGAGTGAGTACATACAGTTCTATAACGAAACACTTAAAGAAAAAATACATACCAATAAGGAATTTTAAACAAATCCATGTTTTATGCTTTAAAGTTAAAATGAATAAGATAATTTCGTATGATTAACTGAAATATAAAAATTATTAAACGTAACTGAAAGCACCTTCAAATAAATGAAAATGAATTAATTGAGAAATACATTACAGTTAATTGACCACAACTTAAGAAAAAAACATAAAAATCAATACATGATAACAAATATTAATCAGAAAGTAATTATTAAACATGTCAAAAATATAAACATGAAATCTGATGAATAGTTAGTAAATACTTCCACGCTTCAGACAACACAGTTAAAGATTGTCAACACGGCTGCCGAAAGAACTTCTTCGCCGGCGTGTTGGTTTGTTGATTTCATGTTAGATCATACATGCGCAGGAGCGGCGTGGGTAAATTGCCCCTGTAAAAAAAGGTTCAGGGACACACAAAAATGTTTGACTCCTCTGTTTGACGTGACGGAGCCACACCTTTACTTTTAAAAGTTCTTTGGTTAAAATTCTATTTTTAAATTTCGTGGGGGCGTTTCGTTTCGTGAAACCCTTGAGAGATTTTTCACGGAACCCCGAGGTTCCGAAAAACATAGTTTAAGAAACACTGCTTTAAAACATGCGGTTTAAAATAAATAGCAGACATACTGGGAATTCGCGAATAATACGCTTGAATGCTGAAAATACCTGAATGTATTTCAGAACTAATTTTGATTCTTGGTCTTCAATAATTAGAGATATTCTTTCGAGGATGTCAACAGAAAAATTATTAAGAAAAGTACACTAATCTTGATCGAGCAATTATAACTTTTTAATGCAGTGGTATGACTTGTTTCAAATTCCAGCACTTAAATGGCCTATTATTTCTAAATCGTGAATTCAGGGAACAGCAAGAAAACAGTACACTTCGAGTATTAGGCTCAAGGCCATAAAAACTGCGGAACTTATATCAACGTAATGGGAGAACCTGCAGCTGCTTTTCATTCATGATAGCGTTCGACAGCATGTTGGATAAGGCGCTGAGCATACTTTAACGATAAGAAAACTATTGGTCATGAGTTTCGCTTCTATACTAGACCTCAATCCGTAATATTTTTAGCTTTACGGATTCCACAGAGAAAACAATTTCTTTTGTTGAGATTATAAGCCTATCATACCATGGTTAATTTAAACGGTTAAAAAAAATTGAGTAACTGTGGTCGGGGTCTGCACAATTATAAATATAAAGCACTTTTCAAATATATTATCCGTTATTCATATTAATAATTAATAATTTTATTTAAAGATAAAATGCTATCTGTATCTTCCTTCGAAATGAAAAAAGTATACAGCAACTGTAGATGATGTAAATACTTTGTTTTCAACCTAGTTAAAGAAAACAGTGGATAGCAAGAACTAACCTGAATAATCACGACAGAAATCTTTCTTGGGAAATGAAACGCTATCTGTTACCTTTTCGGTGATCTTAAGAAGTTACTCTTTTTATTACAGAAACAAATATCTAGAGTCCGTTTTACTGTATTAACAAATCTGGAAGCTCTATTTCTAATAGCTTTCCTTTCCAGGAAGTCTGAAACGATATTGTTTGAGATGCAAAACTAAGTTCCTCTCTGACTGAAGATCTCCGCCAGTGCAGCACTCGTCTTATATGGCGGTATAGAGATATATTTTAAGCCACAGTATTGGTTCTTTAAATAGTGAATGAAATTGCAAATACCCGAATGCATCAAAGAATCTTGGAAAAAAAGGTAAAAAAAAGGTTTTCCCGGTACCGTTAATTATACCACTATGTGAAATATACTCGAAGATATTCTACCTCTTACAAAGCCAAAATATTAAGCAATAATACCAAATTGTAGCTTGCATAGATCTATTCAACAGATTAAAAATTATACTATTTGAACACACTTAAAACAAGGTTGAGTAAGCACTTTATAAGGTTTTTACCAGTGCTTTTATATAGAATAAATTTCAAAATTAATGAAAGATTTCTGGCATAAAATCTCATTTACAGTGCAAACTAAGAAGCAAAAGGTTGTTTCAAGAGTTTAAAGAACTTCGGAATTGTGAAATGCACTTAAAACGTGCTCCAGTTCTTTTTCTTCAGTTCAAAAACAGCAGTAAGAGCTTACGGTGGCTCAGCTAATTAATGTTATATTGCGGAAGTGTGCAAAACTGTATATAATTCTTATTTAAAATGAATTTTTGTCTAACAGCGACATACCAGCTATCGAACGGCCAAATCGGTGAACACTGTTATTTGAACCAAGTTCACATATCTCGGTTAAAGGGTTGGCTGCATAGGGCATTTTGTGGTTGCCCTTTTGTAACATGGATATGGTCCAGTTTTCCTTAGAAAGTCACCCATGAAAGCATTCCCCATGGGATGACTTCATGGATGATTTAGATAATCCTCACCTTCCCATAGATCCCTTACACAGTAATCCTCAAGGGCTTTTTCATAACCTAAATAACGAATCCAATTTGTGTCTGACGGTACAGTGACAAGTACCTCATGTTGCTTTTTATATTAAATTACGAAAGTTTCTTTCTGAACGTCTTTTTTCCGGAAGGAAAATTTGTTTCACGATCTGTTGTTGATGTGCCAGTTTTGTGGTGTAAGTTCTGCATTGCTTATTATAATATTGTTTGTTTTTACCCTAATGATGTGCCATACTTATAACTACAAAACCGCTGAGTATGGATATGCAAGTTGTTTATTTCACAAAGTCGCCTGATCAACAGTGTCGCCCTTTCAGAGAGGTAAATATATCCTGAAGATAGTTTGGCGTTTCAGCCATAGATGTCTTTGGTCACATTTGATTTAGTATTATCATTAGAAAAAAATTAGTTTAAATTTATTTTTCACATATTTAATGCCTTAGTAAGCCTCACTTCTCAGACGCTTCCCATTACACCCCTCCTTCTCATTTGTCTCAGCAGTAAGTTTGCATAATAATAAATTTTTACATAATATTTTTATTAAGAAGTTAAAAACTCACAGGGTTATCGACTTAAAAAGTAAGCGACAATATGTTTGTAGCAAACTGGACAGCAAATTAGCAGCTATAATTTGACGTACTGTTTTATGAGTGATGCGTCAAAGTGTATTTTCGCTCCACCATGTGCCCGCATGGTTTGGACTCGTGAAAACTAGTAATTTGACCTGGTTTGGGTTCAATCGCAAATGAACGGGCTGGCTGCATGGTTGATACGTGATGTGAATACAAGCCGATTACCCTCAGGCTTTACTGAAAACATCCGTCTTCTCAGGCAGATAGCTGTTCTGGCTTTACAAAATTCAAGTAAGCTAACCTGTCCAGTTCTCAGCATTTTGATAACAAGCAACAGATAAATGTATAAACGATGCAGAAGCAAATGTTACAATACATTCCCTCCTTCCAGAATTAGTTATCACCATCAGTTGTAAAACTGAAACTACCCGTGACGACTTTTAAACGCTCCTCCGGAAATATCGCAACAAAAATATTGCGGACGAAAACATCACGGAGAAAATGACGCAAGGGAAAATGTCGTGGCACAAAACATCGTGGGAGAAAACAAAGCAAAGAGAAAAAAATCGCAGCTCTAAAACATCGTGGTACAAAATATCGTCGTCAAAAATAGAGTGGTTCAATAACTTCGCAGATTAAAAACATCGTCGCCAAGAATTTTCGTGGTAAAAAATAAAGCACCCACAAATCATCGCATAACATCGCAGACATGCGTTTTTCAAGCCTTAAAACTGTAAATGTATATTCGCATAATGATTTCTGAGCGCAAGAAGAAAAGAGGAATGCATTTATTTATGTAATTCATAATTCTGAATTAACTAATATATATTTGCTGAAAAAAATGAAAAGGAAACCTGAGCATTTAAAAACTAGAAATGGGTAGAAAATTAATGGAACTTACAACACGTAATAGAAGTTTTAAACTTACATAGTTAACTAATAAAGGTCATAAATAAATTAATCTTTTTTTATAGAGTTTTACTAATAATTTTTCATGAAAAATATATTCTAAAAGAAAGATCTGTAAGTGCATGAGATTACCACTATTAAAATTGTTTAATTAATTTTCGAATTATTTTATTTCCCATTTGTTAATATGACATTCTTTTAGTGAAAATTATACGTTTTGGTTCCGTTTATTCTTAAAGTGCCGTTAACATTTCATCTACAGTGTGTTGTCAATTATTTGGATGTCAGTTTGTTAGTTGTGATGAAAGTCAGCTACATAATAATTTCAGCAGGGGATTTGGATTTATTGAATTATACAAAAGCACACTAGGACTGCCTGCTTAAATGAACGAACGCATTTGTGAAGTACTTTTTCAGGAACTGGTTCATATCCACGTTATATATTGGGAAAATCCTGAGAATCTCAAGCAGCCGGCTCGTTCGCCTTGTCGAAATACCAGTGTTCAGCGACTCTACGGCTCGGGCACTGGTGCCAGTTCAGCAGGGGAATATTAACGGAAAATAGTTCTTTTTACATCAGTTATTGGAAAATTCAAATTAAAAATTATATCCAGAAAATTTACATGCAATTTTTTTTAAATTATATATAATTACCGTGAACCCTCTCAGAAACACTGGTATCTCCTTAAGACTACTAGTGTTTCTAAGACCAGAAACAAACATAGGTTTTAATCATTATGCAAGATGACTACATCCACGCAAGATTGAAAAGATATGGTATCTTGAGCGGTAGCTTTAAAGAGGATTCTTTATATTTAATTTTGCGTTTAGAGATTTCTTATAAGCACTTTAAAAGTGTTATTTAAATTTGAGGATATATTTTATTCGAAATTTATTAGTTATTGGCTAAACTTTTATAACACACGGAGGCTAATTTTCTTTATACGAATTCCTCTATAAGTGACCAGTATAGTTATGAAACTGGCATTTAATCTCATCTTTCTAAGACGACCAGCTTCATAGAAGAGAACGCTTCGAACCGTAAGTGATCGCCTTAGAAAGGGTTAACTGAACTTAGCTTTCACATTTAGGTCTATTTATGTCCTTCAGTAAACATTTAACTTTTTTTATTTCTGTACATGAAAAAAGTTGAATTATTTCGTATTCTTTCTTAAGACATAGTGAATCATTTTGAAGCAAGTGGAAGTGATCAGTAATCGGTTTAGGGTGAAAAGATTATTCTACATGTTGGTAGATAGATACACTGGTGTGCAAAAATTAAGGACGAAGTCGAAAAATTAGCATATCAGCTGAACGAAGAGGCAGAGCGAACAGAAAGACCAATCAGGATATTAAGTAAGGTGATGTACGGTAGCACATGCGTAGATATGCAGGTAGACGTAATGGGGGAGTGTCTGAGTAGTATAAAGCATGTTGTCGGTGTAAGATCAGTATTTCTGGCAAAGAGATTGCACGCCGTATAGCAGTTAAAATCACCGAGTTGCTGCCTCAGCGAGAAATGGCGAATAATCAATCTGTTAGACGACATCTGGATGCTTTTACCCGAGGTCGAATCATTGGAGTTGTTGGAGGAAGGCCGCAGTGTGACAAGTGTGGCTGCAGAGTTCGGAATTGCTCACAGCATCGTTTCACGACTTTGGAGACAATTTCAAACTACAGGAGCAGCTATCCGGGGGTTTAGTAGTGGTCGTCCACGAGGAACCACACCCGCAGATGACCGGTATATTGCCTTACAGGCCAGAAGAAACAGGCGGCAGACAGCGGGAGAAATCGCTAGACACACGACACAGGCGACTGGACGACCGATATCGCGTTTTACCGTGGCCAGAAGACTGCACGGTGGTGGTCTGTTTGCACGACGCCCTGTACGGTGTGTACCTCTAACGCTTGCCCATCGGAGAAGGCGTTCTCTGTGTTGCCGGGAACACCGGAATTGGAGAGACAATGAATGGGGACG